TCGGGGGCGACAAAAGGGGTGGGTGATGACTAGGGGAGTTTCATGGCGGGACATCAAGGTAAGCTTAGAGTTGGCGGCTCCCGACGAGATCGTTTTGGGGCGCATTTGCGATTGCATGGGGCATACTTGCAGAATTGCGTTGTACGCACCACCGAGATTGACGTACATAATTCTCCGGGACAGAGAGCTTCTGGTGCAGGAGCGTGAGGAGCAGATTGGGTCACGCAGGGCATCTGGGTCGTTATTCGCCGTGGTGCCATGAGTTTATGTTTGACAGTTTTTTTCAGGCGTCCGGTATGGACTGGACGGAGGTCGCCGATGACAGGGCTGCCTTTTACGTAGCGGCATCGCGATGGGTGGATTCAATGCATGTTGAGAAATGACACGACGAGTCGGTAGTGAACGTTGTGCGTCTAGTGCGCAAGTGTGCTATTTTGTTCGCGTTAGGTCTTGTGCACTCAAGAGCAGCTCTGCGTCACATCTGAGCACCACAACAACAACAACAACAACAACAATCATGACAGGGGCCATGAAGTTTCCCCAGTTTAAATGTTCCTCGTCTTGTTTCAATGCGTCCCTGAGCCCATCCTAGGCCGCGCACATGCCTCGTGCCATGCTTTGCGACCCAATTTCTTTGAGCCCGACCTGGCCCTCTCGAGCAGTGGCGAAGCGTCCTGGCTTTCCTATAGGCCCACCAAAGAATGTTCTAAGAACCTTTTCTGTGGTTGTGGTTTACACGAAATGCTCTTAGGACATTTGCGACTGAGACTGTCTTGTTTTAACGCATCGGTGTTATGTTCGAAGGACACTGTCGAGGAGGAGGAGGAGGAAGAGGAGGAGGAAGAGGACGAGCAGGGGAGCAGGAGGAGGAGGAGGAGTCGAGGAGGAGGAGCAAGAGGAGGATGAGGAGGAGGACGAGGACAAGGAATCGAATAGAATTAAGCTCTCGGTGGCATCAGTGCCCCTGTGCTCCCCCAGGCGCAGTGGCTTGCGGCCCTGCCCGCCCCGGGCGGCGCCGGTTGCCCGCCGCCCCCGAGCGTCGGAGGCGCCAGCCCGTCGTCGTCGTCGTCGGCGTCGTCGTCGTCGTCGTCGTCGGCGTCGTGGTCGTCGTCGTCGCCGCCGCCGGCGGCGGCGGCGGCTTCGGCGTCGGCGTCGGCGTCAGCGAGGCCGCCGCCGTCGTCGAGCTCCCGCGCGCGTAGGATATTGCGCCCGAGCCCGGAGGGTGCCCAGGGTTCTCTTGTCCGGCCACGCGCAGAGGGGGGTCCAGGGGAGAGGGGACGAGGAACCCATACCGCTGCCTTCCTCTAATGCTTCTCCTCCTCGGGCCTCCTGGGAGGCCCTCGTCGCCATCGCTGGATTCGCAGAGGAGTTGTGGTCAGGAGACGCCCCGGGATAGGTCCGGAGAGCAGCGGCAGCCACGTGGCAGAGGGGCATGTCGGGGGCGGCGGAGGCGTCGGCCCGTGCCCGAGCTCGGAGGGGGGCCGGGGGGGGTCCAGGCCCAGACCCCGTCGCGTCTTCAAGGAATTACTCGGAGCCCCGAATCATCAGGGATAACTCGGGTCAGGGCAAACTCGGGTTCGTTTTTCCAGATTCCGAAACCCGAGTTAACCCGGCCGAGTGGGGCCGGATAACCCGGGCGCCCAAATCACGACGGACGTTGTGTTTGTGTCGTTCCAAGCCATCTTGTGGTGTTTGGGTCCTCGTTCGGAAGAGAGCGCCACGCGTCCTCCTGCCTTCCTCCTCCCTCCCGTCCCTCCTCCCCGTCCCCGCCTTTGCTTTCCGCGTGGCCATTTCGGCACACCATTCGCACGTTTCGTGGCCCCATAGGGAGCCTCACCGAAGCCACCAGGGGGCCCAGACATTTGGCGTTTCGACCAAATCGAGACGGAGGTACTTCATCGTTTTCGGCCTCTCGGGGCCTTTGCCTGGCCTCGGGTCCGCGAAAGAACGACTCTGGACGAAAAGCCGGTCCGCGGGAAGTGGTCCAGCGGTCGGGGGCCCGCGTCTCGAAAAGATCGAGGCGCCGGATGTCTGGGGGAGGGGGAAGGCTTCGTAGAAGGGGCTAAGAAGGCGCGGGCCTGAGTATGTAAGGCCAGGGCCTCTGTAAGGTCGTGGCCTTCTGAGAAGCAGCCTCCTTCTGAGAAGCCTTCCCTCAGGAGGGGAAAACACACACAGACACAACGAATCGTCGATCCCCAGGAAGACATGGGAAAATATGGGAAGTGGGGGGGAAGACGAAGATCCAGAACATATGTGAGAATAGGGAGGATCTTAGGATATGTGCCTATCTATCAGTGTCCCAGGGCCCCCTCATTCCCCTCTCCCACTGCCCCCTTGTGGCCGCTGCGCCGACCTTTCTGAGCGCCCGTGTGGCATCGGAGCCCGCATGCGGCTGCCGAGTGGGCAGCCGAGCCCGGGCCCCTCCCCGGCGCCCTGAGAAACTCGAGAACCGCAGGCTTTTGGCAGCCTCTTCGGCCTTCGGGGGCCCTCGCCGGGCCCCCAGGCCGTCAAAGATCGAAGAGGAAAAACGCCATAAACATGAACTGTTGGTGCCTCTGGCGCCGCCCTTGGCGCGCTCCGCGCGCCAGGGAGGGGGTTCCAGCGCAGATCCAAGAAATCCGCGCGGAGCGCCAAAAGTTTATGTTTATGGAGCTGTTCCTTCTTCAAAAAAACGATTCAGGATGAAAAGCCGTTGATGAAACCATGGAGTTCACCATGATGAAGCCACATTTTTTCGGCCACTGATTTCAACAGCAGGCGTACAGATGCTTCCCACGAGGTGTGGAGGCGCCCTGGGATTGTTCAGACAGCTCTCGTGCCGCTGGCGATGCGATGAAACACTTGCCCCAGGACCAGGGTCCAGACCTTTCTGGGGGGGTCCTCATCAAGAAACTCGAGGCGTTGGACGTCTGGGATTGAGCCCGCTCGGCCGCCGAAGGGGCTCGATCTTGAGCCCGCGCGGCGGCCGAACGGGCTCAGACGCCGAGCGGGCTCAGAAGGGAACCCCGAGGGGGGGCGAGTTCGGACAACAGGTGGCTCGAGGCATGCCTGGAGTTCGAGTTTTCCGAGGGCTTTTGTTTGCTCTCGGCGGTCTTCCGCTTCGGGATGCCTTGCAGCCGCTGCGCCTCGCCGAGGGCGTTCCAGGGGGTGCCCGGGTCGCCCGCCCCCCCTCGCCGGAGGCCCGAGCTAAGGCCCGACAGTCAGGGGCAACGGTATCCTCCTCCTCCTCCTCCTCCTCCTCCTCCTCCTCCTCCTCCTCCTCCGGGAGTTGCACTTGTTTCGCAGCGGGCGTTTTCGCTTGATTTGGTGGGCCCAGGACCATCGCAGATCGATCTGGCTCGAGCGGTGTATCAGAACGATGGGTTCTAGGGCTCCAGTCGTTTTTGTTTCGTGTTGCGATGATGAGGTAACGTTTTCGCTGCGTCGTATGTCAGGGTTGAGATAACGACAGTTGGCCTTCGGGGGGCCCCTTGTCGCCACGGCTGGACGCAGCTCGGGAAATTGGTTCATTCAAAATTTGAGCCCTGGCAGGGCTCGGGGGGACGATTTTGAGCTGCGGTCTCCTGACTTCGGATCCGCCGTACGTCGGCTGATTCTCCAAGTTTAAGATGTGTCGGACATGCATCCTAGTCGATGCGAAAAAGTAGGGCGGTAATTTTCGCATCTGGAGAAGTCGGGTGGATATTTCCGCAAAGGTATATCAAAACAAGCGACGGCAACGTGGGGCGGAGATCGACATCAAGGGAGCTTGAAAAGTAGGGCGGACATGTTCGCCCGACTTGCGCGAAATCGCCAAGAGGAGAGGCGGATCTGGAGTTAGGGTTCTGATCCCCTTCCCTGGGATCTGATCGGCTTTTCAGCCTGAGTCGTAGTTTGATGTTCCTGCGTCCTGGCAAGGGCCCCCCCGAGGCCGAAAATAGCAGCAACAGCAACAACAACAACAACAACAACAGCATCCTGTCGCGATCAATTTACTCTACCGACGCTGGCGGATCCGAAGTCCGGGTCGTCGCTAAGGCCGGACGCAGCTCGCGGAGATCTGGTGCCTTTGGACCCCCGGAGGGGTCCCGGGACTGATGTTGAGCTGCCGTCGTCTCGGCGCGACCCCCCTTGTCTTTCTCCTCTCCCCCTCGGAGTCTCCTCGTCCTCATCGCTTCTCGCTTCTCCCGCTATTTTATCCTCCTCCTCCTCCTCCTCCCCCTCCTCCCCCTCCTCCTCCTCCTCCTCCTCCTCCTCCTCCTCCTCCTCCTCCTCCTCCATCCCTCCTTGAGGAGGGAAGCGAACGAGGAGGAAAATACGGAGAAGGAGGAAGAGGAGGAGAGGGAGGAGAAGGAAGAGGAGGGACCCTGAGATCGGTCGTTTTAGAAAATACAACACCGCAGCAAATCACGCCTGGAGCCCTAGACCCCATCGTTCTGCGTCGTTTTTCGAGCCAGATCGATCTGCGAGGGCCCCGTTGGCTGAAACTGGGCGAAAACGCCCTTTGTGACAAACGTTTGATTGTCCAGATCTGAGGGGACGGGGAGGAGGGACGAGGAGAGGTTGCAATATTGAGTTGCCGGCGTCCGGTCCCGCCAGCGAGGTTAATGCAACCCATGAGCCGTATCATTCCAAGCATCCTCCTCCTTCTCCTCCCCTACATGAAGGAGGACGGAGGGAGGAGGAGGAGGAGGAGGAGGAGGAGGGAAGCGAACGAGGAGGAGGAGGAGGAGGAGGAGGAGGAGGAGGAGGAGGAGGAGGAGCAGCAGCAGCAGCAGCAGGAGGAGGAGGAGGAGAGGAGGATGGAGGAGGAGGAGGAGGAGGAGGAGGAGGAGGATCAGGAGGAGCAGGAGGAGGAGGAGGAGGAGGAGGAGGAGGAGGATCAGGAGGAGGAGGAGGATCAGGAGGAGAGGAGGAGGAGGAGGAGGAGGAGGAAGAGGAGGAGGAGGAGGAGGGATGAGGGGAGTGGCGATGTTGGGCTGCCGTCGTCTCAGCTCGCCCTGCTCCGATGAGCAGCCCAGGCTTCGGCCCGCCCCCGGCGGCGCCCGCGGAGGGCGAGAGGCGCACCGACCCGGCGGACGGCGGGGCCTACAGCCTCGACGAGTTCGTCGAGGTCTCCTCCTCCATCCTCCTCCTCCTCCTCCTCCTCCTCTTCCTCCTCTCCCCTCTCCTCTCCTCCTCCTCCTCCTCCTCCTCCTCCTCCTCCTCCTCCTCCTCCTCCTCCACTTGCTCCTCCTCCTCCTTCTCCGCACCCCGAGGTCTCCCGGGGGTGGCTCTTGGCCGCTCCGGGCCTCCGAGGGGGGCCCTTCGTCGGGGTGAGGGACGGGCTGCACGGGGGAGGGGGTGCGGAGGAGGAGGAGGAGGAGCAAGTGGAGGAGGAGGAGGAGGAGGAGGAGGAGGAGGAGGAGAGGAGGAGGAGGAGGGAGGAGGAGAGGGAGGAAGAGAGGGAGGAGGAGGAGGAGGAGAGGGAGGAAGAGAGGGAGGAGGAGGAGGAGGAGGAGGAGGAGGAGGAGGAGGAGGATGAGGAGGAGGAGGAGGAGGACAAGACAAGACAACACCATTGCGAGCCATGATGTCTCTGCTACTGCTGCATCTGCAACTGGCTCTAGGCTGCACACCCTGCGCCTTCCTGCGAGCACCGCTGGAAGGAAGGTGCCCTCTCTGGCCGTTGGTGGGACAGCGACAGGGAACGCCGAGCTGCCCACCTGCGGCACCACCCTTCCTGTAGAGGTGGGGAAAAAGAAAAGAACGAGAGAGGACAAAGACAGTAGAAATGAGCTAGGTCGCAACACTATCTCACATGCAACTCATGCCTACAAGCTATCATCTGGGGACGGATTGGGGTTGGGGTGAAGGAAACGACTGGAGGATCGAGGCGTCGGCTGGAGAGGGACTGTCTGGACATTCACTTCCACCCTCTGAACCATTGCACACCTTCTCTGCAATTCTGGCATGCTATGGTGAGCAACAGCTCAGTTCAGTTTAGTTCAGCACGGCGGACCAGCACGGCAGATCACATCAGCACGACGGACCAACAAGGCAGGCCACAGCAGCACGGCAGACCAGCACGGCAGACCACAGCAACACCACAAACCAGCACGGCAGACCATAGGAACACGGTCCGAACCTCACAACACGACAGACCACATCAGCACGGCAGACCAGCACGGCAGACTACAGGAGCTGCACTCCTGGCGCCTTGCAGCGGCCAGGTCGGCTGGGAAGGTGCCCAAAGGTGCTGCGCTCGGGCTGAGGCTCAGGGCGGCCGACGGCTCGCGGTCCTCCGACCTTGACCCCAGCCCTGCCCTGGTGCGCCATGCGGTCCAGATGGCGGCCAGCCTCCTGCAGTCGGGGGAGGTTCCCCTGCGGATGCTCGCGGCCTGCCTGCAGAGGCAGACAGGAGACATGCCAGCGCCTCAGCGCCGTGGGCGCATTGCCGCACACCGGTGGACGCGCTGGCCCTCTCCCTGGCCAGGATTGACTGGGGGATCGCCGACGGCCATTGCCTGGTCGCTGAGGACGGCAACTCCATGGACCTCCTCCTCATGGGCCCTCGTGAGCTTGGGCTCTTGGCGGCGGCGGGAGCGCGCAAAGCCTCAGACAGGGCCGAGCTGGCGCGCCTTGGGCATGGCGCGGCCCCCCCGATGCCGCTGTTCTGGGAGGCGCTCTCGGAGGTCCTGGGCCCGCGCAGCAGGTTTGAGGCGCGGGGAAGGCGGCAGTCGTGAGCTACCTCTCCAACGCTCACTGGCCGCAGACCCGCCTGCACGCCGCTGGTGAGCGGGACCACCCGCGGTGCTGCGCCTGCGGAGCGGCGCGCGGCAGCCTCTGGCACAGGCTCTTTGAGTGCCCAGTCCTCGCTGCGGCGCGCCACGACTCGGTCTCGGATTGCCTTCGGAGGTGCGCCCGTCGGGTCAGGGACTGCAGCGAGGCGGCGGGCGAGAACTTTGCTCGAGGCTGGCTGCCTGGCCCTCCCAGAGCTGCTCCGCGCACCGACGCCATGGCGGTGATGTGGGTCAACATGCCCGAGGACGGGTTGCTGCAGGGCCGCCTCTTCCTGGATGGGTCGGCGATCGACCCCGAGCACGAGAGCCTCCGCCGCGCGGGCTGGAGCACCGTGCAGTGCGACGCGGACGGCAGCCTGGAGACCGCGGTCTACGGCGCCGTCCGCCTGGACCTCTGCCCCTTCCAGACGGCCAAGGACGGCGAGGACTTCGCGGTCTGGATGCTGAGCCGCCTCGCTGGGCCCAGCGTGGAGGAGCTCTGCATCGACTGCGCCTCCACCGTGAGCTGCCTCAAGCTCGGCCGCAGTTGCGCGACGGCGACGGGCAAGCCGAACGCGCACCTCTGGTCGGCCATCCACGCGTCGCTCGACGTCGACACGCTCAAGGTGACGAACGTGGCGGCCCACTGCAGGGCCGAGGACGCTCGAGAAGGCAGGATCTCGAAGGCGGTCAGGCGGGGCAACTCCCACGCAGACCACTGGGCCAAGGCAGGTGCGCACCTCCATAGGTGCAGCGCCGCCGCGAGGAGGGAGCTCTTCGGCGCGATGCTGGTGGTGCTGGAGCTCACGCGCTGGATCGCGCAGGCCTCCCTCATCGGGCAGGGCATCGAGGCCAAGGACTGCCAGGGTCTCTCCGAGGCGAGCGAGAGGCACAGCGTCTCCTTCGCGGAGCCCGTGGTGGAGCAGCAAGGCTGCCAGCAGCCACAAGGAGGAGGAGGAGGAGGAGGAGGAGGAGGAGGAGGAGGAGGAGGAGGAGGAGGAGGAGGAGGAAGAGGAGGAGGAGGAGGAGCTCCATGCGGCGTTGGCATGGAGGCAGCCTGGGCCTCGGCGGCGCGAGCTGGAGGCGTCGCCCTCGGTGCGGTGGCCTTTTTCCGTCGCGGGCCACGCCCTCTCCTGCGTCAGGTGCGGAGCTGGTGACGACGAGCAGGAGCTGGTGGCCTGCGCCAACTGCGGCGCCTACGCGAGGCTGGGCGGCAGGGCGGGTGCAAGGCCCAAGCTCAAGGACCGCTGTCCTGGCTCGGCTGGCCTGCCCAAGGCAATGCCGAACCAGCGGCCCCTGCGGGGACGGGGCTTCCATCCCGCTGGCAAGGCCCACAGCGGCAACAAGCGGGACAAGGACGCCGAGGCCCCCCGCCTCCGCGAGGAGGCGACCGTCCCCACCGACGCCAGGATCCGTTTCCTCGAAAGGTTTGGCGTCCGCCCCCCCGACCGCGACGGCGGCGAGCCCGTGGTGCCTGGAGGCCCTGCTGGCAGCCCTGGCGCCGCCGCCGCCACCCCTGCGGCGAGTGCGGCGCCCGCCGCGGGCGCGAGCGGGCACGCGGCCAGCTCGAGGCAGGCCTGGCTCGATGCGCATGGCCTCGACGAGGCGGCGCTGCGGAGCTGGGCCGACGTGGCTGAGGCCAGCCTTGAGGAGAGACGGCGGCGGAAGCGGCCGCGAGAGGAGAGCGATGATGAGGGTGACTGAGCTGCGCGGGGGGCGTGGCCGCTCGCTCCGCCACAGCGGCCCCGTGGTGTTGAGAGCGACTGAGCTACGCGAGGGGCGTGGCCGCTCGCTCTGTCGCGCAGCTCGAGGCAGGCCTGGCTCGACGCGCACGGCCTGCACGAGGCGGCGCTGCGGAGCTCGGCCGATCGCGCCCTTTTTTTCCCTGGCTGGTCTGGCGGGGCCTGCCGGGTCCGCCCTGCAGATCACAGGGTCAATTTCGGGCACGAGCGGGCCATGCGCCCCGCGTTTTAGATTTTCAGGAGTGCGACTGAGCGACTGAGGCGGCGTTGGTGGGCCCCACATGGGGAGATCATGCCACGCGAAGCGTGTGTGCCGCGGCCGCCCGCTCCGTCGAACAGTTCCAGTCCCTTCTTTCCCAGGTGTGTCTCTCTGGCCTCCGTGGACCCTGGAAGGCCCCTGGAGGCGAGGTTGGGTTTCCCTTGGGGCCAAAGTGCTCCGCCACTGGGCCTCGGGGTTCTTTTTTCCCAACCATCCTGTGGTGTTGGGTCCTCGTTTTGAAGAGACAGCGCCCCGCGTCTCACCTCCTCCTCTCCTCCTCCTCCTCCACCTCCTCCCTCTTATCATCACCATCATCATCATCATCACCATCATTATCCTCACCATCATCATCATCAGCACCATCAGCATCATCGACATCATCGACGTCATCATCACCACCATCACCACCACCATCGTCATCATCATCATCATCATCGTCATCAGCATCATCATCATCATCATCGTCATCATCATAAACACCAATTTCGGCACACCCCTCAAACGCTTCGCGGCCCCATAGGGAGCTCCACCGAAGGCCCCTGTGGCAGGGTTCGCATGGCGGCCCGCCCCATGTCGGCACATCCCTCACGAGGATCGTGGCCCCATAGGGAGCTCCACCGAAGGCCACAGTGGCAGGGTTCGCATGGCGGCCCCGCGCCATTTTGGCGCACCCCTCACACGCTTCGCGGCCCCGCTTCTTTTTGGCACACCCCTTGCACGCTTCGTGGCCTCACAGGGAGCTCAATCGAAGGCCCCAGTGGCAGGGTTCGCATAGCGGCCCCGCATTTTGGCGCATCCCTCACACGGTTCGTGGCCCCATAGGGAGCTCCACCGAAGGCCCCAGTGGCAGGGTTTGCATGGCGGCCCCGCCCCATTTTGGCGCACCCCTCACACGGTTCGTGGCCCCATAGGGAGCTCCATCGAAGGCCCCAGTGGCAGGGTTTGTATGGCGGCCCCGCCCCATTTTGGCGCACCCCTCACACGGTTCATGGCCCCATAGGGAGTTCCACCGAAGGCCCCAGTGGCAGGATTCGCATGGCGGCCCCGCGACATTTGGGCGCATCCTTCACACGGTTCGTGGCCCCATAGGGAGCTCCACCGAAGGCCCCAGCGGCAGGGTTCGCATGGCGGCCCCGCGCCATTGTGGCGCACATAGGGGGAGCTCCACCGAAGGCCCCAGTGGCAGGGTTCGCATGGCGGCCCCGCGCCATTTTGGCGCACATAGGGAGCTCCACCGAAGGCCCCAGTGGAAGGGTTCGCATGGCGGCCCCGCTTCATTTTGGCGCACCCCTCACACGGTTCGTGCCCCCACCGGGAGCTCCACCGAAGGCCCTGGCAGGATTCGCATGGCGGCCCAGCCCCATTTTGGCACACCCCTTGCACGGTCCGTGGCCCCACAGGGAGCTCAACCGAAGGCCCCAGTAGCAGAGTTCGCATGGCGGCCCCGCCCCATTTCGGGCGCACCCCGCACACGGTTCGTGGCCCCACAGGGAGCTCCACCGAAGGCCCCAGTGGCAGGGTTCGCATGGCGGCCCCGCCCCATTTTGGCGCACCCCTGCGGTTCTCACACTTGCATATGGTTGGGTCCTTCGCCAGGATAATTGCCTCCTGGAGCTTTGCTCTGTATGGGGACGGCCCTCGTAGGCCCTCTGGGTTAGGCCCAGAGGTGGCCTTGGGCTTTGGCGCCTCAGTGGTGCCCTCCAGCCTTTATAGGCCCCGCAGAACCAGAACCAGCACGGCAGACCAGCACGGCAAACCATAGCAGCATGAAAGACCAGCACGGCAGACCACAATAGCACGGCAGAGTCTAAGAGCACGGCAGACCACATGAGCATGGCAGACTGCAGGAACACGGCAGACCACAGGCGCACGACAGTCCAACACAATGCATTGCCAGCGGTTCTGCTTGTCGTTTGTGTGTTCGTCTCCGAGCTCTTCTTTTCGCCCTCAAGAGGACGCTCTCTGGCGAGTTCCACAGACAAAGCGACGCTTCCCATTCTTCTCCGGTCACGGAGCCTCGCACGCCTTTTCCTCCCCGGCGCGCGGGGGTCGGCGGAATCATCGGAGTACGAGGCGTTCGGGCGTTTGCGCCGGCTTCGAGGCGGCTTTCCAGCCTCGGGGTGCCCCCCAGCAGCTTCGCCTCGCCGAGGGCGTGGGGGGGGGGCCCAGATCGCCACAACTGCCGCCGGAGAGCAGAGTACGGCCCGAGAGCCACACGTCGTCGCCTCGTGAACAAACATCGCGGCGGGAGGTGTTCGGCCGTTCTCGGCCTCCGGGGCCCGCGCCGGGCCCCGGGGCGCCAGGGCCTTCGAGAAACGGCTCGGGATGAGAGACCGCTGCCGGGGAGCACGTCCAGACTGTAGGGGGCCACATGCGAACCCGACCCCTACACCCCACGATTTCTGAGGGGGAGGGTGGGGTTCACTTCGCTCGGGACTCCCGAACGAAGTGACCCCCCCCCCCTCAGAAATCGTGGGGGGTGGTAGGGTTCGCATGTGGCCTCCTAGACTGGGCGGGAGTGGGGCAGGGATAACATGGTTCCAATGCGTTCCGGAACGTTCTCAGAGCGTTCTGGAACGCTCTGGGAAGGCAGCAGCGTCCGATGCATCCTCAATAATGGATGGAGCTCCGCGATCCCCGATGTATCCGTGTTGGATTTTGTCCCTGTCTTGCCTTCGTATTACCTCTCGGGGTCCACGCTGCGAACAAAAAGACGAAGTCGGGTTTCTGGGCGTGTGGCGCTTGCTCGTGGTGGGCGGAGGCAACCTTAGGGCGGGATGGATGGGCTCAGATGGGTACGCATCGACCACCAAATCGCCTACTTATCGCGAATAGGGGCTGTCGCCGACCAGTTGGCAATACCTGACTCCGGATCCGCCGTGTTCGGGGCGATTTCGCAAGCAGGGCGGGAATATCCATTTTACACTTGTCGAATTCCTTTTATGTTGTAGATGTCCGTCCTACTGTGCCCTCACTGCTTCAACTACATTTGCAGCGGAAATATCCGCCTCAGTTTTTTGAGGCGGACATTCGCCCTGTGGTTTCACACCTTTTGGTGCGGGTTTCCGACACACGATGAAAAGTCGGGAGGTCAACCGAAGAACGGCGGACCCAAAGTCAGGGGCGTGTCGCCGATTCCAGGTCTATGACCCCCTGAGCCAGTGCTCGAGTAGGGGATCGACTGCAGAACTGATTGACCCCTCAAGGTTTATTCTCTCGCCGAGCCATACGTAGACCGTGTGTAGATCGATGAGAGGCTTCAGCATTCCTGACGGACTCGAGGAGAGAATCGATTCTGGGGTAAATCAATTCTGCAGTCGATCCCCTACTCGAAGTGCCCCCACCACTTCTATCGCTCCCCTCGAGGTCTACGGCGGCTCCCGGGAGCGGCCTCCGCCGAACTGGCTCCAGGCCTCCGCGCCGGCCGAGCAGGGCTACGCGGCGAGCCTCCCGGCCTCCGTGCCCGCCAGCGCCGCGGGGCCCGAGTGGGGCGCGCCGTGCTCGGGCCAGGCCATCGAGGATAGCAGAAGCCCCAGCCCTCTAGCGCGAGCCCAGACCTCCTCGAGTCATGAAAAAATCACGACGGGAGGTTTTTCGCTATTTTCGGCCTCGGAGGGCCCTCACCGGACCTCGGGACCGTCAAAAAACGACACGGGATGAAAAACCGGTCCCAGGGAATGGGTCTGGACCTCTGGGGGTTGCGTCATGAAAAAATCATGACGTCGGGGGTCTGGGAGGAAGACGCAGCCTCACTGAGGCCCCCGTCTTTGCTGTTAGGGATCATGGAGCTGGGCTGTCTGGTTCGGTGCATCTGCAGAAGAGGCCCCCTCAGCCCTGATTGGTTTGGCCCTCCGAACTGAGGCCCCCCCCCCACAGAGAATTAGGAGTACATCTATTGCTTCTCACCAGGGTGCTCTGGCGGCCGCCGAGAGGCGCATCGACCCCGCAGACGGGAACGCGTACACCCTCGAGGACTTCGTGGACGCCTACGGCGGGTCTTCGACTGCGCCGCCCTTCCAATGGCACCAGGCTCCAGGCTTCCCAAACGTAGCCCGAGTCATTTGACGGGGTCGGGAGGGCCGCGCCGCATCGCCGATGCATCTGCGATGCGGCTCGGTGTGGAGCCCGAATTTCTCCGCACCCACGTCGCCGCGATGCGGCGTGATCTTCCGACACCATTTCTGCGGACCCAATTGGGGCGACGCTGAAAGACGGGTTCGTCTTCGCCGGCATTGGTGCGTAAGTTATTCGCGCAAGATCGCGCGTAAGCACCCTCGTTTCCAACGTGTCGTGCCCCGCTGGCGGCCCCTCGTACGCCGCGGCGTAAGCTCGCTGTGCCATAGCGCGCAAGACGCGTTTCTGCTCGTCGCCCAGTTCGCAGACCCCCGACGTCATGATTTGTGTCAGAACCTAGTCCCCCAGAGGTCTCGACCCGTTCCCCGGGACGTTACTGGACCGCTTCTTCATCCTGGGTCGTTTTTGGACGGCCCCGCGGCCCGGCAAGGGCCCCCCCCCGAGGCCGAGAACAGCGAAAAATTGCCACCCAGACATGCGACGTCCTGATTTTTTCAGGACGGCGTCCCCGCAAGTCCCGACCCTTTCCCCGGGACCGGCTTTTCGTCCTGAGTCGTTCTTTGACGGTCCCGAGGCCTGGCGAGGGCCGCCGAAAATGGGCCAAACACATCCGTTCCGTGTTTTTCTTTTTAATAGATAGATAGATAGATCGATAGATAGATAGATAGATAGATAGATAGATAGATAGATAGATAGATAGATATATATATCGATAGATAGATAGATAGATAGATAGATAGATAGATAGATAGATAGATATATAGATAGATAGATATATAGATATATAGATATATATATATATATATATATATATATATATAGATATATAGATCGATATATATATGCATATAGATATATATATATATATATAGATAGATAGATAGATAGATAGATAGATGTATATATAGATATATATATATATAGAGATATATAGATAGATATATATATATATAGCTGTATAGATAGATAGACATATATATAGATATATAGACAGATAGATAGATATATAGACAGATAGATAGATCGATATATAGATATATAGATGGACATAAATATAGATAGATAGAGTGATACATAGATATGTATAGATAGATAGATAGATAGATAGATAGATAGATATATATAGATAGATAGATAGATAAATAGATATATAGATATAACAAAACGACGCGAGCATGCCTGAGAAGGGGTCTGGGCTGGGAGGCCTCCGCAGGCGCTGGCTGCGGGCGCCCCCGCGGGCAGCCTGGCGGGCGCCGCCGCTGCCGCGCCCCCGGGCTGGGGCCCGCCGTCCGTGGCCAGCGGCGGCGCCCACAGCGGGCCCGGCGCGGCGAGCGGCCTCGGGGCCGGGGGCAGTCGGGGGGCAGCCGTAGGGGGGGGGGAGGGGCATTCGGGGGGGGGGGACGCCTCGGCCCCCCAAAGTCGCCCGTGGATCGCCGAGAGGGGCGTGAGGACCGATGGGTGGAGAGGAGGCGGGCTGCCGAATAATCCAGACATCTGTTACAGATGTCTCAAACATGTCTGAAACATGTAAAAGATACAGTAAACATGTTTAGAACATGTTGCCGATAAACACAATTTTTAATCAATGATAGGACTGTTAGGGTGTCCATTGTCGTGGCATCCACAACAAGGGGCCCGATAGCCCTGACCTGCCCAGGAAGGTTCGGATTCACGATCGAAAGCCTCTCGCCGATCTATCGGCGAGGTATCGCCGATCCCAGGTCGATGCATCCCCCCCCTATTGCCAGTCCCTCCCTATCGTTGCCCCTCAGGCAGCATCGCCGGCGTCTTGGCGCCCAGCGGCGGCGCCGACGTCTTCGCCGGCCCCACTGGGGCCACCCGAAAGCCCAGGGGTCCCAGATCAGACCCCTCCAGACAGGCTCGCGTCGCAGAAAGTGCAGGGCGGAGGTGTGTCGCCCTGTTCGGCCTCACGGAGGCCCTCGCCCGGCCCCAGGAGCGTCAGAAAACGAAGGTGAAACATTGGCCCGGGGAAAGGATTGGGGCTTCCTGGGGCCGCATATGTCGGGGGCGGAAAAGAGGGGGGTGATGACTAGGGGGGGGTGGATATCATGGCGGGGGCCATGATTTTTCCCCAGATTTCAGGGCGCCTCTTCTTATTTCATCACGTCCCTACCCCCCCCCCGCTGGGCCGCGCACATGCCGCTGGTCATGATTTGCACCCCCCCCTCTTGGACACCCCCCTCTTGGCCGCTCCCGAATACGGAAAAGTCCAGACGTCGCATGTCTGGGCTGAGATCCAGGCGTTGCCATCGCCGCCGTCTTGTTCCACGGCGGGCGTGCTCTCGCGCCCAGTGTGGGGCCCGGGGCCCTCGCAGATCTGTGCGGCTCGCAGAGTGGCGCAGAGCCCGGCAGCCATCTTAGATCAGGATTATAATTGAGCACGCTTATGTTGATTCTCATTGGCCTAACATCGATAAGATGATACGCATCTCTGGCTGAGGACCGTCATCCTCTACTCGACCCCGATTGCAGAGCTTCGCAATGTTAGATTTGTTCGCGACGTTGCAATTTTTCCGCAGCGTCGGATCTCAGGGAGGACGGACGTTTTGCGCCCTCATTTCGGCCCCTGGAGGCTCTCGTCGAGCCCCAGGAGCGTCCACAAGCGGCTCAGGATGAGAAGCCGATCCCAGGGCTATGTTGCTCCCATCGTACTCAAGGACCATCCAAGAAATAATTTCGAGCACCCAGAAAAGTGTCGAAACAGTGTCGAACGAGTGTCGCCTCCCAGGGCCCGACACGTGAACCCTGAAGTTTCGGTAGTTTCTTGGTGCTCGATATTCTTTCTGGCGGTCAAGGCTAAAGTAGGTTGGAACACCATAATCCCAGGGAAAGGGTCGGGATTTCCGGGGAACGCGCAGTGAAAAAATCGAGGCGTCGCATGTCTGGGACGCAAGGGCTGAACGGGGGCCCAGAGACACACACAAGTAGATACACAAAGTCCAGGATGTCCCCGCATATTTGCTTTCAATCTTTTCCGGACGTTCGTCCTTTCCGAATGTTCCACATGCTTCCAGGTAGCCGACGATTTTTTGTGTCTGCGTGTTCCTTCCCCGCCTGAAGGATGACCATACGGCAGGTTCGTGCCGTGACCTCCCTCGGCGTCGATTTCGGACACCGCAGCCTTTGAACGGTCGGAGGTTTGTCGATCGCCGGATCGTTCCGTGCTGACCGACTTTGGGCCACCGGCAGCGCTGAACCTGGAGCGTCCGCGCCGGGCCCGCCGCCGCGCCGACACGACACGCGCCGACACGACACGAGCCCCAGGTTTCGTAATAAAAGGGAGGGGGTCTGGACCCTCCAAGACAAGCCATTTCAGACCTCCCCCGTGGGAGAACCCTCCAAAACATCGTCCCCAGACCCCCCAGGGTCTCCAAGATAGCCTGGAAGAGACCCCCCCCGAAATGAGACCCCCCTCCCTTACTTACGAAATCTGGAGTACCCAGACATCTGTCGTCTGCGAGAAGACGACGGGAGGTTCTTCATGATCAGAAGCGTGAACATGCACCTTACCAGTGGCGGGCTGTTTTTCAATCTCAGGGCTCCTTGAGGGTCGATGGCGACGCTGGGGTGGTGTGGTGTATACTTGTGTCCCCGTTTCCCCGTGGAAACAGCGGAACATGTATACACCAGGATCCCGTATAGACCAGGATCCGCTTTCCTGTGCGAGTTCCAGTGCGGGGGCGGAAAAAGTGCCGGTGTATAGAGCTCGGTTCCTTACATGATTTTCGGCCTCTCGGGGCCCTCAACCTGGCCTCGGGGCCGTCAACAAAACGGCTCGGGATGAGAAAGCGGCCCCAGGGAGGTGGTCGAGAGGTCCGGGGGCGAAGACGACGGGAGGTTCTTCATGATTTTCGGCCTCTCAGGGCCCTTACCGGGCCTCGGGGCCGTCAACAAAACGGCTGGGGATGAAGAAGCGGTACCAGGGAAGTGGTGGAGAGGTCCAGGGACCCCGTATGGGAAAAATCGCGACCTCGGATCTCTGGGGGGGTCCGCGAGGTCCGACGTTGCAAATGCTTGCCACGAGGCGAGAAGGCGCCCCGTGATACCTCCGACAGCTCTCGTGCCGCCGGCGATGCGATGCGATGCGATGACAGAGCGGTCCCAGGGAGGTGGTCGAGAGGTCGGGTGCCCGCGTCTCGAAAAAACACAGGGCGCCGCGGCCGTCATTCTCCAGGCTTGCGCCCGCCAGGTTTGGGAGGTTCCTCATGATGTTCGGCCTCTCGGGGCCCTTACCGGGCCTCGGGGCCGTCAACAAAACGGCTCGGGATGAGAGGTCGGGGCCCGCGTCTCAAAAAAAAAGTCGGGGCGCGCCAGAGGTCCGGGTGGGCCAAAGAGCGGCCTTTGGTGCGCGGCCTTTTGGGGGGGCCGCGGGGGCGGGCGAAGCCCGGGCGCGCAGGCCAGCGCTGGGGGGACCCCCGCAGAGTCGGGGGTGGACAGACCTCCCACCCTGACACGTCGATTAGTGCATTGTCCGTCCTCGGTTCTCGAGAGGGCGCCGCGGCCGTCGTTTTCCAGGCCTGCGCCCGCCAGGCTTGGGCCCGAGGTCGTTTTTCCACGAAACCGCGGTTTGCTAAAGGGGGTTCTGTCCATCCCCGGTCTAAACCACGTTGCTAAACCCTCGCCCTCCACCTTCCGCACCTTCCGTGCACGACCTTCCGCCATTTTGCGCTATGTTTTTTTGTAAATTACATCGAATTACACCGGGTTTTCATGAGTTTCGCGGAATTAATTGGATTTCAGGTAGTCTTTCCACTAAACCACGGTTTGCTAAAGGGGGCATCCCCGGTCTAAACCGCGTTGCTAAAGGGGGTTCTCGCGCAAAAGCGGGGCGCGCCGGAGGCCCGGGGGGGGCAAAGGAGCGGCCTCTGGTGCGCGGCTTTTTGGGGGGGGGCCGCGCGGGCGGGCGAAGCCCGGGCGCGCAGGCCAGCGCTGGGGGGGCCCCCGCAGAGGCCCACCACTGTGGAGGACGATC